ATGCCTAGATGTTCTATAGGTTTTAATTGGCCGACCAATCACCTTGCGCAGAACGCTCTAGTCATTTCCTTGTTCTGTTCTATCTAAGGGTGTTTGGAGATTGAGATCAGGATGAGCTAACACGGCACAGGAGGAATTTCTCTCTCGTTCCCTCATTCTCACAGTGTGAATGAATCTCACAGGGAGAAAGAGGGTGCATCCAAAATGTCACCCTATTCCCTTTGCAGTGCAATACTTTTGATCAGGGCCCAATAGGGAAGTAGCGCACTAAATAAGGGAAGGGTTGCCATTTGGGATGCAGATAGAATCTACCTTCGTAAAAGAGGAGGACGCGAGCAGACCGCGAAGCTAGGTGACATCACAACAAGTCGTGTTCTACCACGGAGTGAGAAAAGAAGAAATGAATACCTCAACGTGTCGTGATGTAATCAGAAAGAGTTAATGCGGCCTGACTGCAGAGAGATTCCCAAAATAGGGCCCGTAGGACTTTGGTCAAAAGTAGTGCACTGCGTAGGGAATAGGGGTGACATTTGGGACGCATCCGGAGGGAGAGAGGGAGAGGGATCAAGTCATTAAAAGATAAGGTCGCAGTACTAGACTGTGACAGGCTACAGGAGAGGAGCAGGTTGTTAATAGAACTGAATAAATACACTGAACTGGAGCTGGCTGGCTTGTCATCAGCATCCACTAACACTGCATATTATCAGACTGTTCCAATGCTATGCTAACAATTAACAGGTTAGCAAACAGGCTAGACAGCCAAATGATATGCTATTATTAAGGCTAGCTAGGAGGATCCCATGCTATTATTATCAGGCTATTTAACAGGCTCCTAATGAAAAGTTCACCCCTGAAAAGCGTTCAGCGAGCACATGATAAAACTGTCAAACTCCGGTCCTCCACTATGAAAACAATCCACACACTCAACTCCACCTAACTCCTCCGACCGGTTGGGTTCAGAGACAGAGCAGCCAACAAGATAACCAGGTGTTGCTGACAGAAGATACAGGAGAACTATAGAATGTGTCCAAATGGCACCCTACTCATGGCATCTTATTTCCTATACAGTGCCCATAGGGCTCTGGTCAAAAGCAGTACACTATATATAGGGACCAATGTGCCACTTGGGACAGATGCTTGGTCGTTGAGAAGAGAATGTGTTGAAATATGCATGATGAGCCTATGGGTGTACTGTACTGTAAATACATCAGAACAATATGGGACGGCCGGTAGGATAGAGGGGGATGGGGGAGTGGTCTGTCTGGTGGGATAGAGGGGGATGGGGGAGTGGTCTGTCTGGTGGGATAGAGGGGGATGGGGGAGTGGTCTGTCTGGTGGGATAGAGGGGGATGGGGAGGGGATGGGTGGTCTGTCTGGTGGGATAGAGGGGGATGGGGGAGTGGTCTGTCTGGTGGGATAGAGGGGGATGGGGGAGTGGTCTGTCTGGTGGGATAGAGGGGGATGGGGGAGTGGTCTGTCTGGTGGGATAGAGGGGGATGGGGGAGTGGTCTGTCTGGTGGGATAGAGGGGGGTGGGGAGTGGTCTGTCTGGTGGGATAGAGGGGGATGGGGGAGTGGTCTGTCTGGTGGGATAGAGGGGGATGGGGGAGTGGTCTGTCTGGTGGGATAGAGGGGGGTGGGGGAGTGGTCTGTCTGGTGGGATAGAGGGGGGTGGGGGTGGTCTGTCTGGTGGGATAGAGGGGGTGGGGAGTGGTCTGTCTGGTGGGATAGAGGGGGGGGAGGTCTGTCTGTGGGATAGAGGGGTGGGAGTGGTCTGTCTGGTGGGATAGAGGGGGATGGGGAGGTCTGTCTGTGGATAGAGGGGGATGGGAGGTCTGTCTGGTGGGATAAGGGGGGGGGGTGGGGGAGTGGTCTGTCTGGTGGGATAGAGGGGGGTGGGGGGGTCTGTCTGGTGGGATAGAGGGGGATGGGGAGGTCTGTCTGGGACCCACCCACTACTATCACAACAAATCAAGTTGAAGTATCACACACACACACAAGGTCATAAACACCATTGAGCATCTATAACACAACACTGGAGAGGAGACCCATCTTTAGAGAACCTCCCCCACAGAGGAGAGACAGAGGAGAAGAAGGGATGGGGAGGGGTGGGAGGAGAGGAGACCCATCTCCCACAGAGGAGAGACAGAGGAGAAGAAGGGATGGGGGGAGGGGTGGGAGGAGAGGAGACCCTCTCCCACAGAGGACAGACAGAGGAGAAGAAGGGGATGGGGTGGGAGGGAGAGGAGACCCATCTCCCACAGAGGAGAGGACAGAGGAGAAGAAGGGATGGGGGTGGGAGGAGAGGAGACCCATCTCCCACAGAGGAGAGACAGAGGAGAAGAAGGGATGGGGAGGGGAGGAGAGGAGACCCATCTCCCACAGAGGAGAGACAGAGGAGAAGAAGGGATGGGGAGGGGTGGGAGGAGAGGAGACCCATCTCCCACAGAGGAGAGACAGAGGAGAAGAAGGGATGGGGAGGGGTGGGAGGAGAGGAGACCCATCTCCCACAGAGGAGAGACAGAGGAGAAGAAGGGATGGGATGGGGTGGGAGGAGAGGAGACCCATCTCCCACAGAGGAGAGACAGAGGAGAAGAAGGGATGGGGAGGGGTGGGAGGAGAGGAGACCCATCTCCCACAGAGGAGAGACAGAGGAGAAGAAGGGATGGGGAGGGGTGGGAGGAGAGGAGACCCATCTCCCACAGAGGAGAGACAGAGGAGAAGAAGGGATGGGATGGGATGGGGTGGGAGGAGAGGAGACCCATCTCCCACAGAGGAGAGACAGAGGAGAAGAAGGGATGGGATGGGGTGGGAGGAGAGGAGACCCATCTCCCACAGAGGAGAGACAGAGGAGAAGAAGGGATGGGATGGGGTGGGAGGAGAGGAGACCCATCTCCCACAGAGGAGAGACAGAGGAGAAGAAGGGATGGGATGGGGTGGGAGGAGAGGAGACCCATGGCCTCCTTCTGACCAGACTATAGCATACCCACCTCCTGCTCAGGTCAACCAAGGGGGCTTTGCAGCATATTTCTACTGCTCTACCCCCTCCCTCCCTCACTCTCTTCTCTGGGAGTCCAGGGATTCATAAAAATGGTCATTTGTTTAATAATTATATTTTCTTTATGTCTGGCGTGTGTATGTTGTAGATATACAGCCAGTCAGACAACAGGCAGGCAAGGTTAAGATTTACAGTCCTGGTTGGTTTCAACAGGGAGCTGCCGCAACATGTTGGAGATATCAATATTCTGATGGTGACGAGTCAGCGGAAAGGACGGAAGACGAAAGAAAAATAGATGTGGAGAGGGAGAGGGGGAATGAGGCTCGTGAGCACTGTGCGCAAGGTGGAAAGCAAGCGAGTGAGCAAGCAAGAGAGCAGTAGAGAAAGTGCGCGCGCGCGAGAGAGAGAGAGAGAGGAAACAGCACTGATTATCGACGCCAGGCTGCCACCACTCTGTAGTGGTGAGTGGCTGCAACAAAAGCAGACCAACATCCCCGGCTTTCGGCTCCTCTTTTCTCTCTGCCACTGTTAGCTGGCTTCCTGAACGCCCAGAGCACATAGGAGGAGAGCAGCTCCCTCCAACTCACTGATCGCTGCAGTTGGCTGTGTTGGCCACCACACACCACGGACCGACCAACCCAACGGGTCTCTGCCTGCCGGGTCTCCCTGCCATCAACAAGTTAGGGGCTGGATGGTGAGGGGACGTAGAGGACCCCCCACCAGCCAAGAGGGGGACCATTTGATCCTCAATTAACCAATTGAGCTGACATCATTGCAGTGTGGAGGAAGGAGGGAACAAAAGGCTGAGGGAGAGCAGCAGAGACCGGCTGTGTTCAGAGCCAGGGCGCTTTGGACGCAAATCATCAACCAAAAACTAAGATATAATAAAAATGCAGCCGTTTTGATAATGTGGGATTAAAACTACAGAGGCAAAGAGGACTACTAGAAACCGACATCATCATCAACCAGGGACATGGGATTTGTGATTTTGTTTCAATTGGGAGGGCTCAAGAGCATCGCTGCTGCTTTATTCTTTCAGGAAGAGAAGAGCCCGGTTCCTTTTGTGATTCAGAAGGGCTTTTATTTTCTCTGTTTGGATCTGTGTTCCATCTGGCTGCTTCGGGAGTCTGCTGCGGAAAAGGACAGTTGAATGCAGCCTCCGATGTGCACAAAAGAATGGGTAAGTTATCCTCTTTTATCCAGAGAGTCTGGACCTGAATAGGAAACAGAGTGAAAAGAAGGGGCTGAGGGCTAATAGGGGTATTCAAGGCTTTTCCATTTACTTCCAATGTCATCCTCCTCTTCTTTCCCTTCTCTATTGCGGGGGGGGGGGGGGGGGGGGGGGGGGGGGGGGGTGTAGTCAAGTCGTGATATTTTTATTAAATTAAACGACCAACTGACATGTTGTATAACAGTACGGGAAAAAAACTCTACATTGGCATGGCACATCCTTCAAAAAACTCTACATTGGCATGGCACATCATTTAAAGAATGTTGAGAGTAAACTGAACTTATATATATTTTTTTAAATCTACTGAATCACAAGGTATAATGATTATAGAAGCAGAGAGACGAAGAATGAGAAATCATTTAAAAAGGAAAATAACCTGCAGATCTTCTTCGTCTGATCATAACCCATTACGATGGGAGGAGAATGAGAAAAGTCCTCATCACTACTGCACGTATCAACACATTAGCTTCACATGTAACATCCTCTCAAACACAGAACAGCTTTTTCCCCTTCCTTCCTTCCTTGCTCGCCGTCAAAGTAAACTCTGAACACTCATGTTCATAGCAGTGATGATATGCGATCGATAGTGTGTGAAGGTAGACGAAGCTAGAGGAAGACTAGAGGGAGGATAAAAAAAATAAAAAACATTGACAGATCAGCTTTCCCTCCCCTTGGTTGATTTTTATTATTATCTTTAAACCCCCCAGGTTTCCATTCAAGGTGGCCATTGGTGGGACCTGCACCAACGGCATTGTGCCTGTGTGTGATCAGCATGCTGCTGTGCCTGCTGTCTCCTGCGTCATGCACAACCTGCCCCCAGAAATGCCGATGCGAGGACCAGCAGTTCTACTGTGACACCCAGGGATTAGAAGCGCCCCCGGACGGCGTTGACAGGGGGGCCCTGGGATTGTCGCTCCGCCACAACAGCATCGCTGAACTCAGCCCGGACCAGTTCTATGGCTTCTCCCAGCTCACCTGGCTCCACCTGGACCACAACCAGATCACCACGGTGCAGGAGGACGTCTTCCAGGGGCTCTACAAGCTCAAAGACCTCAACCTGAGCTCCAACCGGATCACCAAGCTGCCAAACACAACCTTCATCCACCTCATCAACCTACAGATCCTGGACCTGTCCTTCAACCTAATGACTGCGCTGGAGCCTGAGTTGTTCCACGGCCTCCGCAAGCTGCAGATCCTCCACCTGCGCTCCAACTCGCTGCGCACCACCCCCGTCCGGGCCTTCTGGGACTGCCGCAGCCTTGAGTACCTGGGTCTGTCCAACAACCGGCTGCGGAGCCTGGCCCGGAACGGCTTCGCTGGCCTCATTAAGCTCAGAGAACTCCACTTGGAACACAACCAGCTGACTAAGATCAACCTGGCCCACTTCCCCCGCCTGGTGGCTCTGCAGTTCCTTTACCTGCAGTGGAACAAGATCTCCAACCTGACCTGCAACATGGAGTGGACCTGGACCACGTTGGAGAAGCTGGACCTCACAGGGAACGAGATCCGGGTGCTGACCCCGGACGTGTTCGAGACGCTGCCCAACCTGAAGATCCTCCTACTGGATAACAACAAGCTAGACAGCCTGGACTCTCTGGTCATGGATATGTGGCTGTCTCTAGGTACCGTGGGGCTGTCCAGCAACCTTTGGGAATGTACCAAACGGATCTGCTCCCTGGCCACTTGGCTGAGCACCTTTAAGGGGAGGTGGGAACACTCCATCCTGTGCCACACCCCCGAGTACGCCCAGGGCGAGGAGATACTGGATGCCGTTTATGGATTCCAGCTTTGTCCGAATTTTACGGCGCCGCCACCGGTCGTCTTGACCACAAGCGCGTTGTCGACGGCCACGGACACGTCGACGGGAACGGCGGCAGAGGCCACCAGCTCGCTGTTTGGAATAATGCAGCAGACACCCACGCAGGACTTCTATTTGGATTTTGGGCGCTTTACGACAATAACGACAACGACCGCCACGCCACGCACCGCCCTGGCAACCGCCCTGGCAACCTCCGCCACGACAGTGGAGGGCGGCGGCGGAGCGGTGGGAGTCACGGAGGACTTCTCGGAGACGGACAACACGGTCCTAACCCAGAGGGTGATCATTGGAACTATGGTCCTTCTGTTTTCCTTCTTCCTCATTATTTTCATTGTGTATATCTCACGGAAGTGCTGCCCTCCTACCATGCGCAGGATACGCCAGTGCTCGGCCATGCAGAACCGCCGCCAGATGAGGACCCAGCAGCGGCAGCAAATGGCGGACCTGGCCACGCAGGTACCCTATAACGAGTACGAGCCCAGCCACGAGGAGGGAGCGCTGGTCATCATCAACGGCTACGGGCAGTGCAAGTGTCAGCAGCTGCCTTACAAAGAGTGTGAAGTATAAACTATGTATATTCCTCCTGCAGCAGCATATGGGGTGTTTACCATTTCTGACCATTTCAAAATGATACAGGGTTTATTTTTTTTGCTTTTCTCCCGAGTTTATACAACAACAACAACAACAAAAAAGCATAATTTCTACTCGCTAGCTTTGAGAAATCAATGAGATGAGTATATCGAGTGGGATAGTGGATGACTGGTGAGTGGAACGGACAGTGAACATGTATGAAGTAGTAGAGATAATCACATTTATTTTTCTATGAATGTTCATATCAAGCTGTGGGCAATCAGTCTCCAAAGGGAAAACGGTAGAGAGAGAGAGAGGAGAGAGAGATGTGTCACCACATTATTATTAGTCACCATATTCCGCAGCACAGAGATTATTATTAAATCTTCAGCCAAAATGTCTGGAGACTGAACCTCTTACAGCTACTGAGACATGGTGGTCTACATCATGATATCATTATTAAAAGGGGAATCAGTGTCGGAAAGGAACACGGATTACGATGACAGATTTCTTAAGGACGCACGGTAGCCACAGTATGTCACTTTCACAATCACCTGTTGGTACAGTAGTGATTAAATGGGGTTGGTTATTAAATGAAAAGTATTATTCACATTGTTAGTTTTTTTTTTTTTTTTTGTAAATGACTATGAATATTGAATAAATGTTTATTTATATGTCACACTCTGAATTAAATCTCCAACAGAAAATCTAATCTGCTAAACATTACTTGGTTGCTATTTATGTTTCAAAAACGTGCATTTCCTCCCTCTCTCCGTCTCTCCCTGGAGCCAAACAGGACCTTCCCATTCTGTTCAGTGAACACCAAATGATAGCCTTCTTGTTTCCAGATTTAAATTTGATTCAATAAAAGGCCATTGCCTCCCATTAAATCTAAAAGCTTAGCACTGTCCGTGGAAAGGTTAATGTCCAATAAGACGCAGTACCTGCTTAGCCAAACAGTCTACAGTCTCTCTGAAACGGGACGTGGTGGAGGAGGAGATGTATCAGGGCCCTTTACACTGAAACGGGACGTGGTGGTGGAGATGTATCAGGGCCCTTTACATGTAAACACTCCCTTTAACCAAACAGTCTCTCTGAAACGGGACGTGGTGGTGGAGATGTATCAGGCCCTTTACATCGTCGGCCACACTGTGGTATTAAAAGGGATCAGTGCGACGACCCGCAGACAGATGCCAGCATCCTCACTGACAGCAACGGTAGCCGCAGCTTAACCAATTTCCACCGCCGTTTACTGATGCAATATAGGCCAGGGGCCAACATCCACACACAAGTAGAAGATTCTGGAAGTAGCCGATATCTAGCTAGTACAGAGAGACAGCGAGAGAGAAGAGTAATGATGAACAATGGAAAAACCCATTCTGCCCTGCACAGTGTCTCTCATCCTGAAAATACATTTGTCCCAGGAGGACTCCCAGTCGTGTTCGAGCTCCCAGCCAGTAGAAACACAGACCATAATCAGCTCTGACAGGATCAACATTGAACCAATTAAGGACAGGCAAAAATAATCTAATATTCTGTCGCCCACACCAGTGATCCAGCAAGATTCTGCTCGCTACTGCTGCCAGTCAGTCGGTAGAAACATCCTTCACTCAACACAGCCAACTAGGGCATTTATCTCCATATCACAAATCCTGCTCTTGTCAGCCTGGCCTGACAGTCTCTCACGTTTCCCTTTTCTGGAATGAAAGGAGAGAGAGAAAAACAGGCAGAAAGGAGGAGAGAGAGAGGGGGGGGGGGGGGGGGGGGGACAGGCACAGATAAGTACCCTGCGCAGCCCTACGTTAAACTGTAGAGAACCTCCCCCCTGAGAGCAAATGCAGCTCCTGTGATAAGCAAACAGAGGGGAGAGGAGAGCGGCTAAGGCTGGGGCTCAAGCAGAGGAAGCTGAGAGGCAGGTTTAGGACACATTGGTATGCAGCACAGAGAGGATTTGCATTAGCATCAGACTAAAGCAGCCGCCGCTGCAGCTCTCCCCTCTCAGCCCCTCCCTCTGCACATATTTTTGTGCTCCGTTTAGAAGGTAGGGAGCAGGGAGAGAGAGAGAGAGGGAAGGAGAGAAGGAGAGAGAGGGAGCAGGGAGAGAAGGAGAGAATGGGAGAGAGGGAGAGGAGAGAGAGGGAAGGAGAGAGAGGGAGAGAGGGAAGGAGAGAGAGGAGAGAGAGGAAGGAGAGAGAGGGAGGGAAGGAGAGAATGAGAGAGAGGGAGAGAGGGAAGGAGAGAGAGGGAAGGAGAGAAGGAGAAAGAGGGAAGGAGAGAGGGAAGGAGAGAAGGAGAGAGAGGAAGGAGAGAGGAGAGAGAGAGAGGGAGAAGAGAGGAGAGAGAGAGGAGAGGAGGAGGAGAGAGGAGGAGAGAGAGAGAGAGAGAGGAGAGAGAGGAGAGAGAGAGAGAGAGGAGAGAGAGAGAGAGAGAGAGGGAGCGATGAAAGATAGAGGTAGGGTGGTAGGGAGGATAGCGGGGCAACCAGGGGGGTCATGTCTTGGCTTATCTGAGGGAATGAGCATCCTTCTGGGCAGGTAATGTTATTCTATGGGGCTAAAAGATCAACCAAGGGGAATAGGGGGGCAGGGAGAGGAAGAAGGGAGAAGTTGTGCACCCTATCCCCTACACAGTGCACCAATTTAGACCAGTGTCCTGTGGGCTCTGGTCAAAAGTAGTGCACTATATAGGATAGTGTGTCAATTGGGACGAACCCCAGGATAAGAAACTGAGTGACATCACCTTGGGGTTGGGACAGCATAGGGAGAGAGAGAGGAGAGGTAAACATCACCTTGGCAATGTGGCAGCAAAGCCAATTACTGCTCCCCTCCTAGAAAAACTACAATTATAATTCAATCAATGAAAAAGAAAGCAAGAGAGAGGGAGTGAGCTAAAGTTAATTATGACAGTTTAGGAATTGGCACAGGCTCAAGACTCACGGTTTGTTGTGCAGCTTTTGGCCAACTTCTATTAGAAGAGAGAAGGGGTATTTTTAAGTCATCCATCTACAAAGATTGGAAATGCTTTAGAATAGATTGAGAGTCTTGATTTAAGTGATTGGGAATGGGGGCTCCTGGAGAGTGCTATGAAGTGTCATCATCTGTGTTGAAACAGGCCATCTTCTGACGGAGCCAAGCTAACAGCCACGCTAACCCAATGCTTTTTCAGAAGGCAATAGCGTGCCATTTGGTACGCAGTCCCGGTCAGTGTCAATGTCTCACTAGGAGTCCTAAACACGCTGACAACTTCCCAGAAAAGAGAGCGGGAGAAAAATAGGGCTTAAGTTCTTATTCAATCAATTAAAAATCAGATCATGAACAATACTCGTGTTCTACAAGACAAGTCTAGTGGCGGAGAGAGGAGGGTATGTTCCAAATGGCAACAGATACCCTTAATAGTCCACTAATTTGGACAACGTTGACTTCTTAAGGGTATAGGGTGCCATTTGGGACGAAGACAGAGCCGATGTAGAAACTAGATCTTACTAGCAGAGCAGAGCTAAGCAGGAGGCAACATGTGTTCCAACCATCCATCCACACAACAGCAGACGACAAGGTTTTTGGAGTCTTAATTCAAATTGTTGTTCCATTGTAGTTTTTTTCCCCAAACTAAGCCATGTCACGCATTCCCATTTTGATGTCTCTGGAAAAAACTATTTTGATTTACTTTTTTTCTATCAAGGGTAAGAACTGTCCCTTCCGAAATGTCTTGCATGTTCCAAGAAACCAGTCCAAGCTGACTTCAGTCTTAATGTTATTCAGATAAAAACAGAAGCCTTGTTTCTAAATAATGGCCCAAGGATGAATAGGATGGATAACAGGGACAAGGGAGAGAGTGAATGGTAGTATATTTTTTGAGAGGGAAGGAAAGTAGTGTTGGCAAACATTTGACATCTAACTGTTAAAGATTACAGCTTGTTATAAGTGATTGAAATGAATTCACAATTTGTAGAAACATGCCTCCATTTTCACATTCCGGCTCTCTCTGTCAAGTTAGTTTTTTTGGTTGTTATCTTGTCATATTCTGAAGCCCTGCTCTCACTCCACCTCCCCGATAACCTCTGGGCCAAATGAATGCTGTTCTCTCCTCTTCCCTCCCCGATAACCTCTGGGCCAAATGAATGCTGTTCTCTCCTCTTCCCTCCCCGATAACCTCTGGGCCAAATGAATGCTGTTCTCTCCTCTTCCCTCCCCGATAACCTCTGGGCCAAATGAATGCTGTTCTCTCCTCTTCCCTCCCCGATAACCTCTGGGCCAAATGAATGCTGTTCTCTCCTCTTCCCTCCCCGATAACCTCTGGGCCAAATGAATGCTGTTCTCTCCTCTTCCCTCCCCGTTTCCTGCTGTATTGTAATATGGACCATTTCATCTGTAAAGTGGGTAAAGATGTTGCAAAACTAAAAAAAATATCTTTTTTTCTTAAAACATATATTTTTTAAATAAAAATGGTTACAATTAAAATGTGTTGGGTCTGATTTTCGCCGGCCCCCATGAGAACTGGTTTAAAATGAGTGACAATTATTACATGACTTTCTCCCTCTTCAAACAAGCTTTGGTGGTTCTGGCTTCAACCCCAGTCTAGTCCAACAGAATCATCTATTCATATCACCCTTGCCCTGCAGGCTAAATGTGTCCTAAAATGGAGATGATCCCACCGTGATTTATTAGAGAACTTCGATTATAAATCGCCACCCTAGTTTCTATTTTTTGTTTTGTTTTTTCGCATCAATCTACACACAATACCCCATAATGACAAAGCAAAAACAGGTTTTTAGAAAGTTTCGCTAATTTATTAATAATAAAAAAAAACTGAAATATGACATTTACATAAGTATTCAGACCCTTTACACAGTACTTAGTTGAAACACCTTTGGCAGCGATTACAGCCTTGAGTCTTCTTGGGTATGACGCTACAAGCTTGGCACACCTGTATTTGGGGGAAGTTTCTCCCATTCTTCTCTGCAGATCCTCTCAAGCTCTGTCAGGTTGGATGGGGAGCGT